GGCCGCCGCAGCTGCTGCGCCAGCGGCCGCGCCGCCGGCGGCCGTGGGGGCGGCCGCGGCGGCGCAGGCCGCGGGCACCGCCCCCGCGCTGTCCTGCTGCAGTGGCTGCTGCTGCAGCTGCGGCTGTTGCTGCTGCTGCGGCAGCGGCTGCAGGTGTTGTTGCTGCTGCTGCTGCTGTTGTTGCTGTAGCTGCTGCTGTTCGGCGGCCGCCGCCGCGCCAGCGGCCGGCGGCCGCGGGGGCGGCCGCGGCGGCGCGGGCCACCGAGCCCGCCGCCGCCGCCGCCGGCAGCGGGGAGCCGGCAGCGGCGGCAGCAGCGTCCGCCGCGACAGCGGCCGCCACGCCAGCCGCGGCGCCGCCGGCCGCCGCCGCCACCAAAGGGGATCCGGCGGCGGCGGCAGCAGCGGTGGCGACGGCAGCGGCGGCAGCAGCGGCGGCGGCCGCGCCGCCGGCGGCCCCAGGGGCGGCCGCGGCGGCGCCGGCCACCGCGCCCTCCGCCGCCGCCGCCGCCGGCGGGGAGCCAGCAGCGGCAGCGGCAGCGGCGGCGGCGGCGGCGGCGGAAACCACCGCCAGCCAGCCGGCCGCCTCCGACGGCGGCGGCGGCAGCGGCGGCGGCGGCAGAGGGCCCGAGAGACCAGGTGCGGCGTCCCGCCGCGCCGCCGCCAGCCGCTGGCGGCGGCGCAGCGCGGCCCCCGAGAGGGCGGACATGGCTCGGGGCCGAGAGCGCACCTGAGCGAGGGGCGGGCTCGAGCCGAGACCAAAGCTACCACAGCTACCGAAGACCCTGGCTACCGAAGACCCTGGCCGGGCGGGCGGGCAATCAATCCCATGTTCATTCGGGGGTGGGACGTTCAGTCGGGCGGGCGGGCGGGATCTGAAGTGTACCTTCCACTCTGTGATGGGACACGGTGGGGGGGAGTGCATCGCAACCGCCGAGGATTCGCGTCGGGCGGACGGGGCATCAAATGCAATCTTCACTCAGTCATGGTGGGGATTTCGGTCGGGCGGGCTTGCCGTCAGATGTACTCTTCAAGCTGTGAGGGCACAAAGGTGGGGGCAACATCTACCACAACCACCGACGACGCCAGCCTGGCGGGCGGGACGCGACATGAAATCTTCACTCAGTGATGGGGCGTTCGATCGGGCGGGCGGGCGTTTAAATGTTATCTGCACTCTGTGAACTCTCAGGCCTCCGAACTCAGGAACGGCGCTCTCGCCGCCGTCGTCGTTGCCGTCGGTTGTCGCCACCGCCGTCGTCGACCTCGTCCGCGTCCGTTGTCGAAGCGGCCAGTCGTCACCGTCTGTCGTCGTCGACTCTGGAGGGGCGGGCCCTCTCCGGGCTCGGATCCCATGGGAATGTAAAGGTGCCCCACCCGGGTCCGGCACCGCGACGGCGACGGCGACGAGCGGGACACTCAATGTAACCTTCCTTGTGTGATGGGACAGGGTTGGGGAGAACTCTGACGCAACCGCCGAAAGCGCTGGTCGGGCGGGGGGGACATCACATGCAATCCTCACCCAGTGGTGGGGCGTTCGCTCGGTTGGGCGGGCGGGACATGAAATGTAACGCTCCTCGTTGTGATAGTACAGTGTTGGGGAAGTAAATGCCAGAACCACGGAAGACTCCGGTCGGGCGGGTTGGACATTAAATGCAATCTTCAATCAGGGATGGGGCGTTAAGTCGGGCGGGCGGGCGGGACAGGAAATGTAATGTCCCGCCGTTTGTGATAGGACATGGTGGGGGGAAATGTAGCACAACCGCCGAGGTTTCGTCACGGGCGGGCGGGGCATTAAATCAAATCTTCAATCAGTCATGGGACAAGGTTGGGGATACATTTATCAATCACGACCATCGAAGACGCCAGTCGGGCGGGCGGGACATTAAATGCACTCTTCACTCAGTGGTGGGGCGTTCGGTCGGTTGGGCGGGCGGGACATTAAACGTAACGCTCCTCATTGTAATAGTACAAAGCTGGGGAAAACATATTCTACAATCACCGAAGGCGCCTGTCGGGCGGGCGGGGCAATAAATTGAAGCTTCACTCAGGGATGGGGCGTTCAGTCGGGTGGGCGGGCGGGACATTAAATGTATCTTCCACTCTGCGATGGAACAGTGTGGGAGGAAATGAACCACAACACTCTTGTCGCGCGGGCTGGGCACTAAGTGAAACCGACACTCAGCCATGGGATTTTCGTGCGGGCGGGCGGGCCATTGAATGTAATCTTCACTCTGTGAGGGCACAAGGGTGGGGGCAAAATCTACCACAACCACCGACGACGCCAGTCTGGCATGGCGGGCGGGACTCTAAGTGAAACCATTACTCCGGGATGGGGCATTGATGGTGGTTGTCATGAGGAAGATAGAGAGAGAGAGAGAGAGAAAGATAAACAAAAATAAAGAAAACAAAGGAGAGGAGGGAAGAGTGGGAAGAGGAAGGGGGATAATGATTATAAGAAGACGTAGTCGGGATGAGGAAGGCGAGAACGTGAGGAGGAGGGAGGAGGAGGCGAATAAGGAAGACGAGTATGATGAGGAGGAGGAGGAGATGGAAAGGAATAAGAGGCGGAGAGGATAAGGAGAAAGTGGAGGAGGAGGAGAGGAAAAGGAGGAAAGGATAGGACGAGGAGAGATGACAATAAAAAGGGGGAGAGGGTGATGAGGAGGAGGAAGCAGGATGAAGAGGATGATCATGAAGATAATGGTTATCCTGCTGGTGCTGTTGATGGTGGTGGTCATGTGAAGGAGGAAGTTTACATGACGGTTGATGATAGAAGTGTCCGGCATGCCCGTGGTGTCCGGGGTGTCCTGGGTGTCCGGGGTGTCCGGGGTGTCCGGGGTGTTCGGCGTGTCCAGGGGGTGCCCGGGGATTGTCCGGGGTGTCCGGGGTGTCCAGGGTGTCCGGCTGTTTGGGGTGTCCGGGGTGTCGGGGGGTTGTCCGGGGATTGTCCGTGGGGACCTGTGGGGGACTCTAATAGGGGGCTGGGTCCTGGACCAGGGCCAGAGGAGAGCCTGGGGCGACGGCCAGGGGAGGTGGGACCAGGGCCGGGGAGAGGCTGAGGGCAGGGCCAGGGGAGAGGACGAAGATTGAGGTCCGGGGCAAGGGGGGGCTGGGTCCTGGACCGGGGCCAGAGGAGAGTCTGGGGCGACGGCTCTATAGAGGGGCTGGGACCAGTGCCGGGTTGAGGCTGAGGGCAGGGCCAGGGGAGGGGCCAGGGCCGATGGAGAATGACGGGGGCTGGGACCAGGGCTGGGACCATGGCCAGGGGTGGCTGAGGCCTGGGCCAGAGGGGGCTGGGGCCATGGCCGGGACCAGGAACGAACTAACGACGAACGACGCAAGTAAAGAGGGGGGGGACTCTGGGGCGACGGCCGACGGGGGCTGGGACTGAAGCCAGGGCCAGGGGAGAGGCCAGGGCCAGGGCCAACGGCAAACGCGGGGGACTGGGACCAGGGGGGCTGGGACCATGGCCGGGGGGAGGCTTCAGGCTAGGGCCAGGAGGGGCTGGGGCCAGGGCCAGGGACGAACGAACGACGAACGACGAAAATCAAGAGGTCCGAACTTTAGAACACAACTGTGCAAGATAGTTAAACTAATCTAGACTAGACAGCATCTCCTTTGTCGCTGCCAATCGCGCATGCGTTGCCGATTTTGTGAGCTTGTGGGAGCGTCCAGCGGAGTGTCAGTTGGGCAACGGTTGCCACTTTGGTCAGCGTGTGGGGGTCAAACGGATTGCGGTCATACTCGGGGTTCAAGCCAAACATGTCGTGAGTTTGGGGTCAAGCGGAGCGCGGTCTTATCCAGGTCCATACTAGAACTTGCTTCCCTGGGCGGTGCCAGCTGCACAATTGTTGCCACTTTCGTGAGCTTGTGGGGAGTCAAGCGGAGTGCGGTCTCAAACGGGTCCAGATTGGATCTCTTTTCCTTCGGCTTTGCCAACTGCGCAATGGTCTTCACTTTCGTTAGCTCTCGGGGGTCCAGCAGAGTGGCGCGTTACGCTCGACATAAACATTATTTCGGCTACGCCTCACATAGCATATCTTGGGGTGCGCAATGCACGGGCCCTGTAGCTCGCAGGGTGGGCTTTGTTCTCTTTCAACATGTCATTCGTCCTGGATCAGCCCGACGGTATCGGTACACATTTGAGGCGTATTGGGCACGTCGTCGTCATCGTAGTCGTATCCTCCCTTTATGGGGAACGATTTGAGTGATCGGTGTGCCGAATAGAGGTGGGGATGGTCTAGGGCCGTGCTCACTGAAGCCTTAGATGGACCTCCGTGTGTGGGTCGATCCGCGTGAGGGGTGTGCCGAGATGAGGCCTGGACGGTGCAGAGCCGCGCTCACTGAGGCCGTAGTTTGAGCGTCTTGTTCGGCA